CCCCCCTTAATTTCTTCTTTTTATGTTTCTTCTCCCTCCTCTCCCAACCCCACCCTCTGTCCGCACTCAGAGCGGCTGCCTGGGCTGAGTAAAATCAGGATAGCCAGCGACGCAGGACCGCCAGTGACTTCCTATTTCATCCAATTAGAAGAAATAAAAGCCATCAAATCAAAGAGAAGCAGGCAGGCCCCAGTCAAGCTCCGCGCCCGCGGCCCCCACCCCTTTTCTTTCTCCACTCTTTCCCTCTGCGAAAGCGGCTCCGTCTCCCAGCCCGGCCCTGTTTGCTTTCAGTCTCGCTGGCTCTTTCCCTCACCCACGCGCGGCGGGTCAGCGAAGCCCGCGCCGATCGATGGCAGCAGCTAACAAAGCTGGGATAGGGCGGGGACGTCGGTGGGCCCTTCTGGGGTGGCCCTGAGGCTGGGCAAGGTCTGATATCGGATTCCTCCCCCGGGAGGCAAGCTTTGCCACAGCAGTTTCTCCTGCTGCTGCTGAGAGCTAGCATTCCTTCCCCAGCCCTCCAGTTAAGTTTTGTTCACCAAGAGGACTGCTGTTACCGGGTTTTCCGCCAACAGCTAGGACATTTTTCTAACCATGGACAGCTCTGCCTTCAGCCGGCTCCGTACNACCAACAGTTAGGACATTTTTCTAACCATGGACAGCTCTGCCTTCAGCCGGCTCCACACAGACTCTGTAGGACTTTGCAAAGCCCAGTGCCAAGTGCTGAGCTTTACATATGCTGGAGGAGGGGGCTGCAGGGCAGGGGAGGGGGGCTCATACAGCCTGTCTCGGGTCCCCTTTACGTTTCCATTTCCCGGTCCCACCCGCAGCAGCCCTAGACTAATGTCAAGCTAATAAGAAACACTGGTAAGTAACCGAGCTACCAGGTCACTTCGAAATTAGCCTTCACTGCGACTGCACACTGCGGAGGCTTGCATTCCCTGGGCGATGTAATACATACCACATGTCCCCCGCTCTGACTGCACTGGGAGAATTAAGACGACTTTTCTGTAAGAGCATGCCTTTTGGGGTTGGGTTTCCGCAGCTTTACCTTACAGTTAGTTTCAGTGCTGTTTTTTTTTTTTTCCTTCCCTTTAAAACAGCAGTGATGAACAGGGACAGGCTCCCTGAACTTGCCCCTAGCTGCTGTCAGTGAGCACTGCGTGCCTCGGCCCTTTAATCCACCTTTACTGTGCCCGGACACCTGAATGGTTTCCAAGGAGCCATTCTGCTCACCGATGTCAACGGGAGTCTTAGAAACTCTCTCTAAATCTACATTACATGAGTATCATACGAGTCCCAGAAGCAAGGGAATATAGGGCTCGAGTCCTGAGAAAATCTGCTTTAAGTGCAGTCTATTTTGTGTAGCACAGTCTTCACTGCTTTGGGTTACTTTTCAGCTTTAAGTGGGCATGGGATTTCCATATTATAATGTCTTTCCAAATGAAATTAGTCCATAATTACAAATAATTAAAAGAATATTAAAATCTTAAAATGTGTTTGCAGTACTATAGCTAACAATCACAACAAAAGCCTGAACCGATTTAAATAATCGTGATTATGACTGTGATAAGCTTATGAGCAAAATGAGTTATCTTAAAGTTCGCCTCCACATAACGTGCACTTATATCCCCAGGAAATGGTATTTTAAAATAATTCCTATGCTTAATTTCTAGCTTTAACTCTTTGATTTTAGAGTAGTGAGAGTTTTTCTTCAAGATTCCAGTCGTGGTCATGAAATTTCATATCACAGAAAATCTATATTGAAGCATTTACAGTATTCAAACTGAGAGGTATTAAGATTTTAATGACCAATATTCACGTAAATATTAAAAAACAATATAAGCAAGTAAGTGCTTATGCTACATTAGGGTAATTTATAATTCCTTTAGAGATCACCCAGTTTAAATATGTGGCACTTAACTCCTCAATTCTGCCCTCAACCAGTATTACACTTGAGTACAATATATTGGCATTCTATCCACAGCCAAGGTCACATAAATTTCAAAGACTAAAATGGGATTCAGGTAGCCCAAGTCAGGCAGGGAAGAGAGATACCAAGAACAAGTAACCTGTAGTTAAGAAAAGTGGTCCTTAACTTGCACCAATAACAACTACTCACCTCTCCTTAATCATTAAGAGCAAACGTATTCAGAAGACAAAGACATTACTAGGCACTAGCTGTCATAGCAAAGACAGCCACCACTTACCAAGGAAAACAACATATTATACAAAGGCTAGGACAAATCAGAGATAGATCTGTGGGCTGGGACAGCTGTTCTTTCTCCTGGACTACACAACTCAGACTGTGGCATGTGTGTCTGTCTTCCCTGGAGATGGACCAGAGCCTTGTAGCACCTTCAAGCTAAGATCAGCCTGCAGAGAGTCAGCATCCTATAAAGTTGTTTCCCACCAAATTAGAAGGTGAATGGAATTGAGGAGAGGAAGTAGGGCAGCAGGAAAAAAATCAAAGGAATCTTCCATGAGTTCCATCCTTGAGACTAGAAGCCAGAAGTTGCCTTTAACTCTTTATCGGATCCTCTTTGGCAATAATGAAGTGAGGAAGGGTAGTGTGTATGGGATTAGGGATCAGAATTTCCTTCAGATAAGTCATGCCCATTTGCAGGAAGAATTGCAAAGACATATCACTTTAACTCTTTACACCTCACCCCGTTAAAGCCCAGGAACACCCATATTTCAATGTCCCCTTAAAAAATGAGCTAGTCAAATTTTACTGCCTTTTTAAAACCACATTACCACCTCCTTCATAACAAAAGCAACATTGATTGAGCTCCACCTTTGCGGAGCCAAGAACACTGCTAGGTTCTTAACATGCATTGCTTTTATCTTCATAAATCCTGTACAGGACATATTATCTTGAAAATAAGAAACAGACTCGGGCAGCTTAGGTACCTTAGCCATGGACACAGAGCTATTAAGCTATAGGGCCAAAATCTGAGCAAAGGCCTGACTCATGCTATTTCTGCTGAAAAATACTGCTGCTCCATTTTTTAAATCCTTACTGGAGGATATTATTTCCATTGCTTTTCAGAGAGAGTGAAAGGGAGAGAGAGAGAAACATCAATGTGAGAGAGACACATTGATTGGCTGCCTCCCGCACTGGCCCCAACCAGACCAAGGATTGAGCCTGCAACCGAGGTACTTGCTCTTGGCCAGAATCGAACCTGGGACCCTTTGGTCCGAGGGCTGACACTCTGTAACCTCTGAGCGAAACTGTCCAGGGCTGCTTCTCCTTTTTAATCAAAGGGCCCACCTGATTATGTATTGCTGACCTATCACTTCAACGACAGAATAAGCGAGCCAGAAAGTGAAACACTGAAATAGTCATCACTTTAATGTAATTAGTAAAAAAAACCTTAAAGGCGCCTAGTTTCCAAAATAAGAGCCTTCTAAAATTTTGCCTACTGATTTTCAGACATTATAAGGATTAAGCACAGGCTATTTAAATATTATCTATTTATAGTTTAAATGGAATGAACTCTTCCGAAATCCCAGTTTGAAGATTTTCTTCGGAAAGCTATTTCAGTTGTGCGCTGCTATAAAACAAACTGCCCTGAAATAGCTAAAAATAACAACCATTGTATATTATCTCACTAGTCTGCAGGTTTACTGGGTTCAGCTGAGTGGTTCTTCTGCTCAATTTGATGACAGCTAAGGCTGCAACAGCCGGAGACGCAATTGGGCTGAAACACTGAAGATGGCTCACACACAGCTGGCAGCTGATGCCAGGTGCCAGCTGGGAGCCCAGCTGGGACTGGCGGGTGGCGCACCGACCTGTGGCCTCTCTAAGTGGCTTGGGCTTCTCAGAGCCTGGCAGCTGGGTTCTGAGAGGACGCATCCCTACAGAGAGGAATGCAAGCTGCCAGGCCTCCTACAATCTGGATCTGGAGGCTGCACAGGTTATTGCCACTGCATCCTACTGGTAAGCAGTCGCAGTGCCACCTGAGATTCAAGACAGGACAAATACATCTTGATGGACAGAGGGCCAAAGAATTTGCAGCCACAATTAATCCACCACAGAAGGTAAGGAAGTACATATTGATATGTCAAACTGGGTCAAGAGGAGACATAGTAATATAGAAAGGGATTTGACTTTTCAAAACATACTTTTTTGATCCACTTTCATAATATTCCAGCATCTTTCCAAACCAGCTTCACTGAAGAAAATATTCTACTATATCATCAGATAAAATATACTCAAATTTCTCTCCTACCTCAGTTCAAACTAGGCTCTTTGGTTCTGCATTTATTTTATGTATTCTATCATGAGAAGTACTTAGCATAGCTCCAGCAGATGACAGAGGATGATAAATGCCATTCTGCTTTGGACCGTATTACCCA